AAATCTGCCCCCACCCAATTACCAACGTTCCAACCAGGTGAAGGGGGAAAAGCTCTTACAGCTCCTTGACCCGCTGTCCGTCGGTGAGCCCGGCGCCCTCCACCACAAACACACAGTTGTTCAGGGGCACTGCGAGGGGGTTCACCAGGCTGATCTCTGCCACCAGCTTCCGCTTCTGCATTGGCTCTCCTAAAATCTGTGAGTAGGAAAGGTTGGACTCCTAATGCCAGCATGGCTGGGGTCCATGGTGCTCCCTCTTCCCTGGGCCTGGTGAGGCTGAGGCAAGTCCTCAGGGATGCAGGTCCCAGGGGATGCAGCCCCATTCAGTGAAGCAGGACCTGCTGCCTGCTACCCCAGGGGTAAGCCCCAGCGTGATCACAGCAACACCTGGTCCCCCCCAAACCAGCCTGGGATGGGACCATGGACCCTCACCCTGATCTTTATCTGTGGATTCTCAACATAGACATCCCTGACAGCCACGATGACATCACCGGTCTCATACTCGGTCAGGAGAGCCACCACCTTGATGAGGTTGTCCTGGGTCAAGTTGTCCTTGTACTCCTCGTACAGGATGCGCAGGGGCACTCTCTTCTCTGGAAGGGGAAACAGAGCAGAGTCAGCATCCACAGCACCCCAGCCCTGTGCTAGCACCTGTCTGCTGCTGGCAAAGTTTGGGCTCCCCAGGAGCTTCTCCAGGCTCTTGCATGAATGAATGGGGGAGCTGGGATCCCTGCAGGGCAGAGGCTCCAACACCAGGTGCCAAAAGGCACATTCAGGCTGTGGGGAGGGGAAGGAGCCATGTCCCAGGGCAAGACCCCAGAGTCATGTTTGCATCAGGGTCCCAGAGGGGCTTGGCTGGCCCTTGGCAACCGGTGCAAGTGCTGGGAGACAGGCTGGCTCTCTGGCAGCTGCCCTCACTCAGCCCTCAGCACTGTTTATCTGAAAGTTCTTCAAGGATGGGACTGTCTGGAGCTGAGGGGGGAAGGAGGCTGAAGGCAACCAGCTGCAGAGCTGTCTTGGGCAAGGACCCTGGAGCAGCTGGCATGGCTAGAAGGGG